GAAAGTGGATCTCGAGGTCCAGAGTTGAGGACCCCTGTTCTATAGTATGTTCTTGCGAGTCTGTTGCCCTGTCCAATGCGTATTCTTATTTTAAGTCTTCATCCATCTGAGGACACACATTCATGCTTCACCAGCCTTTTAGCTTTGTCTTCATTCTTGTTCAGCACTGCAGTGGTGATATGATCACTTTCAACATGAGGTTTGAGATAAGAAATGGGAATGGTGTTATTTAAGGTTGTGGTCTGAAAAGACACTGTGTTGCAGTCATTGATATGAACCACATGCTCAAATATGTCAAGTTCTATACCTTTTATGCGTTCTTTTCCTACTTTCAGTGAATAATCTCTATTATTTGCCTTTCTGGAGGGCTTGGTGTTCACTCTAATAGTTTTGCCCATCTCACTCTTCCCCAGATTCCCTAGAAGAAGAGTTTGGACGGCATGCAAAGTTGTGAAATATCTTCAGACAGCACTGATGATCCTCTTAGTAGTGCCTTACACAGACAACGACAACCACGAATAGTAGTAATTGGCGCAGGCTTGGCTGGCCTTGTCACCACCAAAACCCTCTTGGAGAGCGGCTTCACCAATGTCACGGTGCTAGAAGCCTCAGACCGTATCGGAGGCAGAGTGCAAAGCATTCAGCACGGTGAGACAACTGTCTTGTTATATGATATCATCCTTTTTTATTACCTCATCCTTAACCTTCTCAGATTAAAAATAAGAAAAAAAAAAAAAAAGATGTTTTTTTCATCTTTTCAAGGTAGCTCGTTTCCCTCTCTACAGGTAAAACCACTTTGGAACTTGGAGCAACCTGGATCCATGGGGCAAATGGGAACCCCGTCTACCACCTGGCTGAGGACAATGGGCTGCTGGAACACACCACAGAGGAGGAGAGGAGTGTGGGCCGCATCAGCCTCTACACCAAGAATGGTGTGGCCCACTACCAGACCAACAATGGCAGGCGGATCCCAAAGGACCTGGTGGAGGAGTTCAGTGATCTGTACAATGAGGTAATGGAAGATAGCCAGTGTCCTTTTGGTGGAACCTTTTGGTGTAGCCTCCTGTGGATTATAAGGCTTGAATAACTTAATGCAGTATGGCCCTGTTTTCACCTGGTATTAAGAAGCATTTTCGGTGATCTAATCATGAATGTTAAGCCGAGATGCATTTCTGTTTCCCTTACAGATAGCGTTTCCACTAGGGGTGGGGGGTGCAGTAAGTTAGTAAAATAAAAAGGGTGGCATCGCGGAAAGCCCCGTCCACATTTAATTTGAATGTATGGACTTAGTTCGGATTTGTAAACAAGTAGGGGATGTATGTAGGGATGCACCGAAAATATAGGCTACATATAATTATAATAATGTTCAGCACGCATGTTTCACTCTCCTCGTCACTGCGCGGTTTGACGCTCCGCTCAGTATTCCGATCTATGAATGTGCGTTCCGCTCGTGTACCGCTCATGCTCATCGGAAAAGCAAAGTCCGCTCAAATAACGCGCTGACAGGAAATTTCTATGCAGTATAGGCATACTTGTTCCGGTTTGCAGTAGCGCTACTGTGCTGTAACATGGTGTAGGCTAGTTCAGTTGTACTGGGCAACGCTGGTAAAATAATGCTAACTTCAGTGACGCTATGCTCTGCTCATATGCTCTGATAATAATAGCTTTGTAGGACTATACATTATTTGGATAATTAGTCAAAAACAACAACTTATATCTGATTCGGTTACATAGAAGTGAATAAAAATAATATATTTTTATTTAATATTAAGGTAACACTTTTCAAAAAGGTTCCATTAGTTAATGTTTTAAAGTGTGGTTATATTATTGGCTTGTTTTTTTAAATTCAGTATCATTAAAATTTAATTAAATTAAAAAGTCTTACACAATTACTTTATATTATTTAATAAAATAATAAATAATCATTACAAGGCATTTTCGGTTTCGGTTTTCGGCCAAATGCATCCAGAATTTTTGGTTTCCGTTTCGCCCCAGAATTTTCATTTCGGTGCATCCCTAGATGTAAGACTACATGTTATATTTAATTTAATTACAATTTAACAGTAATTTACTTTCAAATGCCCCAATTGCTGAAGGGTCTGCACAACTTTTTAGTACAATTTCAAGTTGCACGGTTCAAAATACCTGTAGTAGCACAGCAGTGCATACCGGTTTACATTTAATTAAGGTGGACTGGATTAGACTGTAATAAAAAAAGTTGAGTTTGCCAGGTGCATACAACATTTATGACAGGTTTTCATGAAAGTGTTGGTCAGTTTATCTGCTTGACATTTTTCACTTCAAGCTCACAGCTGCCAGAGTAAAAGTTATGTGTTCTGTGGTTGTTACCTCATCCTCTCTCTCACTGTCTTTTGCAAGATCCCGGTCTTTTGTTTGCTATTAATATTTCTTAATTTATTTGTAATGTTGCATCTGACAATCTAGTGTCAAACACTGTTATGAATGTAACAAATATCTTTGCAATTTAGGCTAATGAAAGAGAAAACCACTTAAAGGGATAGTTCACCCAAACATTAACTCATTATTTCATCGTGTCATCATTTAGACACACCCATGATGTTCCAAACCTGTATGGCTTTCTTTCTTCTGTAGAAATATATATATTTTTTTTATATATTTTATTTTTTATTGGTCACTGACATCACTGACATTCTTCAAAACTTCTTCTTTTATACAAGTTTGGAACAACATGAGGGTGATGACGGTTTTCATTTTTGAGTGAACTATCCTTTTAAAAGTTATGCAATATTTTGACCCTAGTGTATTCCAGCCTCATTAACTAATGCAATTAAACCCTTGTTTGTGGTAAGGATAGCTTCATGATCGGATGGCTCTACGATTTCTCACCCTTAATCTTGTTGAACGACCTCCTTTCTG